CTTATTTTCCCCAACCTCTTCTGGTCATATTCGAGGGTATCCTAGATGTACCCCCACTCCTCTTCGTAATTTATAGGCTCCTCGGTCATAGCATATTGGTCGACGTCGGAGTCCCCCCTACAAACTGCCCTCTCACCAAATGATGCAACAGTGACTACCTCCCTATCCGAAGTGGACTCCATATCAGAAAAAGTTTGGAAAATGGACAAAGATCGTAAAACAAATTATTCTCGCAAGAAATACCTACACAAACGACTGAAAAAACTGTAGGATGCCAAAAAACAAGAGCAAAGCAAAGCTCCAACACCGGAGAATGATATTTTCAAAGAAGATAGAGAATTGCAGAGATAGAAAGCTCAAAAAAGGGAGTCTCTTGCCTTTTATACAAGTCCAGGATGAACCACAGCCGTCAGACCAAGGCCCATCAAATTTGTGCCCTTCATTATAGACCAAATCCGAGGCATAGAATTTAAACCATTTTCAAAATCAAAGCCTCGAATTCAAACATGCCACTCATGCACCTTCCCAGGCACGTCGTTTTCTAGAAAGCCTAGCTGTAACCATCATTGTGCATTTAACGCAGCAGTCGTACGTGCCTTAGAAGTTGAAATGGTTCGGTTGCCTATTCTCAGTAACATGCGTAAAACATCAAATCATTGGCACACCCATCGAAGACAATCATATCTTAACAAGCTTCGACAGGTTCGATCCACTCACTGCCTCGACTTCTCCTTCGCCATTCAGCCACATCTATATAAGCCTCGGTAGGTTCGATCCACTCATCGCCTCGGCTTCTCCTCCGCAATTTAGCCACATCTTCATAAGCCTCGATAGTTCGATCCACTCATCACTTCAACTTCTTATTCGTAATTCAGCCACATCTTCATAAGCCTCGGCAGGTTCGTTCCATTCACTGCATCGACTTCTTCTTCGCAATTCGGCCACAACTTCATAAGTCTCGACAGGTTTGATCCACTCATCGCCCCGGCTTCTTCCTCGCATTTCGACCACATCTTCACAAGCCTTGGCAGGTTTGACCCACTCATTGCCTCGGCTTCTTCGTCACCCCTTTTCTCTCGCAGCAACACCATAACAGCAAACTTTACGTATTAATCCGAACACGGTAATACACTTTCAACTCCAACCATTATATAAATATCTATACTTGGACTTGGGGGACTATTATTTAGGGTACAAAAAATTCTTTCAATTGTTATCCAACACACTGGCTTCACCACATTAAAGTCCACACATTTCATAAATGACTATACTTAGACTTGATGGACTATTGTTACGTGTTGACACACTTGACCGACCCACTGGGCCCATGGCCCACTCATATCGAACCACGTGGCATCCTAGCTGAGGCTCCCAGGCTAATAGAAGTTGACCACCATACTGAAACAACTCTCATGACGTGGCCTAAATGCTGGCGTCGAAGTGAATAAGCTGAGGTGGTCTGTCTTTGTCGAGGCCCTTCATACCAAGGCCCAGATGCCCTGAACAGCACTTGATAAGAGTGTAAAATACCATATTTTTCCCTCTTAATTATTGCATTCATGTGATTATATTATGCTAAAATGCACTCATTACTCTTATATTTTGGTTTATGTTGCATTTTGGTGAAAAAGATGAAATTCGGAAGAAACAAGTGAAAAATGACCAAAGTAGAAGCGAACGAAAGTTCGGGGACTAAAGTGAAAATGATCCAAACTTGTGTCTAAGATTATGATGAAGATTCAAAAGTGTTAGAGGTCAAGTGGATGAGGAAAGAAGTCAAAGGGATGAAATAACGTCAAAGTTTGATCAATACATCAATTTCCAATCGAAAACTAACACACCAGTTTTTAGTCTCATGTTGGGACCCATTTTTGACATGGAAGATGATCGAATTGGGAGATGACTTCTGAATAAAAATTGTGGCCCTTTGAGTTAGCTATCCAATGCAACTTGAATCACCTCAATTGGACAACGGGAAAGAAAGTTATGATTAAAACACTGAAAGCTGTCTAGCGGAACCATGCGATCGCATGCCTTTCTACTATGCAGTCGCACACACCTATACCGAGAATTGAAGAGGCTGAAAGTGCATAACCATGCGACCGCAATGACCATAACCATGCGGTCGCATAGTGTTTTTTGGGCGGCCAAATCTCAGTTTCCTTATACGATTGAATCTCTTATGGTAACTTAATTTTCACGGGATATAAATGCCCAAAACCACCCAAAACGAAGGGGGACGCCCCCAGACCTATTTCTTTCATCTTGGTGCTCAAGAAACTCCATGAAAAACTAAGGAACTTGGTGAAGCAACGAAGGATTTCAATCGATTTTGGTGATTTCGACATCTTTAATTCATGTAATTGAGTTTTTCATTATTAAACAATTTTAGAATCGAATTTCCATATCTTGAATATGTTTTTAACATTAGTTTAACAATTATTAGAATTTTCATAGATTTAGTCATGCTTTCTCTATCGAATATTCGAAATACTTGTTGAATTACAATTTGAATTATTTATTGTTGAGATTATTTTAATTTTTATCAAATCCTTCATAGATCTAGCCATGTTCCTTCTATCAAATGATTGAAATAATTGTTGAATTTTAATCTTAATATTACTTTATTGGCAAATTACGACACCCCAAAGCCGTACTACAATCACCGCGTTATACTTTGGGCGTAATCAGCACTCTTCCCCAGAGATCCAGTCTTATACAAGAATCCTTCCCGATTGATTGATGGGACACCCATCATAGAATGCGAATGTCTTGTCTTGTCAATGTAGCGGCGGAGCCGCCGATTAATAAATGTATAGCAGGCTAGGAAGTCAAGTGTGATGTCTAATTTGACATGTAAACTTACGAGATGAGGCCACGTGTACTCTCAACCGAGGGCCACGATCTAACTTGTAATACTATAAATACTTCCCCATGCATCTCTCACAAGGAGAATGCAAGATTCAATATAAGACCCAAGATTACATATTCTTTGCTCTCATAACACACTTTATACAACAACCTGTTTACTGCCTTACATTACAATACTATACGAATCCATCTTCGCATTCTACAAATATGAATTGGTAATTATTGTACATTCGTTATGCAAACATTTCGCAGGATTCCAAACGTTCTCGTCTCGCATTGTTGAGCCGCTCCCACGCCCTTGATTAGTCCATTTGAGACCGTCCACGTATCTTAGCATGTTGGACTAGGTTTGCGTGTGCACGAGTGGATCCGGTATCTGTTGGCAATATTTTTTAGAGTCAACAATAGTAATGGGAAGGAATCAATCATTAGTGTATTAAAAATTTAGATTGATAGATTGTGTAAACAATAATAATTTAGCAGTCTAAGTATACTGATTATAAAACTAGACATACTAATCGTTATATAGCTTTGAGATTGATGTATGGATAGGCTATGATTGCAATTTCCTTATTAAACCACATTGATGAGGAATTGTTTTACCAAATTCCTCTATATTATCAATTTATCTTGGATTTTCCTAACTCTTGGCTTTTTTATGATTTTATTTTATGATCTGAGCTGATGTTCTTGCACTGTTTATGACAGCATTTATAGGAGGAGGGAAATTCCTCTAAGCAGCACGAAGATACAGGAATGGTACTCACATAGATTACATTAATCACTTGATGCTAACGATATATCCAAAGGAAGTAATGCCTACGCCGGAAAATTAAGGTAAGAATTCCTATCTGATTACTGAAACGTAAGTTTTGAGGCAGGCCAAACCATTATGTTACTTTCTCTTTTACTCCAGCATGGTTGATCCTACTTTTATTGTAATTAGCAGAGCTCTTGTAATCTTGTTGGGAAGGGTTGAGGACGACTTATGATTTCCATTACAATTTGAAGTAACTTCTCCTTATCCCTCTTTTCATAACTATTTCTGTTTTTCGTAAGGTACTTTCTTATTTAAGAAAGAGATGTGCTTTCCAATGACTATATGTTCTGTGGTCCTTAAGAGGAAATTTCTAGTTGATTTCTTGTTGTATTCTCTGTTGACTGTTGGAAGGAACTGATGGGGATGTCTTTCTTTGTCAAGGGTAGACAACATAGGAGTTCATCAGTTGCATTTCCTTGCAAATATTTCATTATTTTCTGCTTTTTCTCCTTGAGGCTTTGCATGTAATCCATTTTTCAAAAAAAGGTTTACCATTTAAATTTATTTCCTTGCGTCGTTGAGACATTCAGCAAATTGTGTTTTTTCCCTTGTGACAGGTAGTATTTCCTTGGCACTAATTTCACAATCTATGATAGCCAACCACCACATAACGGAGCAAAGTCTTTAAGCAGTAGAGCTGTTCATCGTTTTGCAAGCAAACAGATAAGTCCACAAGTTCCCGCTGGTAATTTTGAAATTGGGCAGGTGTCCTTTAAGTTTAACCTCCTGAAGTCAAGCGTACCAAGGAGGATGGGTGCTCACTTCAGTGCTGAATATCAGAAGAAATGGCAGCCGACAAATCTCAAGATAATATAAAAATGAAGAAACCAGAGTCTGATATTGGATACACAATTTTGAAGAATAAAGCTCCAAGGTGGCACAAACACTTGGAATGTTAGTGCTTAAATTTTCATGGTAGGGTGACAGTTGCATCAGTAAAGAACTTTCAACTGGTTGCAACAATAGATCAAAGCAAGCCTGGTGGAAAAGGCGATGAGGAGACAGTACTTCTCCAGTTTGGGAAGGTCGGAGATGATACCTTCACTATGGATTATCAGCAGCCTTTGTCAGCTTTTCAGGCATTTGCAATTTGTCTAACCGGTCACCAGTTATGGAACAAAACTGGCGTTTGAGTAATTAACTGTTTATCCAGGAACCTTTGCTGGCTTTTTATATATGAGTACTTTTCCTTTGGGTCTTTTCTACAAGTGTATCTGACTGATCTCATTTAGTTGTTGTACAGTATATATTATACTATTCTAGTTTGAATCATAGCAAACATCTTCCTGGTTCTTTCACAAGTTCCATGTATAATAAAGGATGTTCGAAATTCAGATAAAACGCTACAGTGAAACAAAGGAGACATCAACATATTGCGAATCATGAGATGAGGGGAATCCTCAGAAAACATAACCCATTCACAAGGAAAGCCAAATCCATAATCCATACTATTAGCAGGTGATTATGACATCGGTTAGAAACAAGAGAAAATATGTTCATGGACACCGACACTTCTAGGACTGAAAACAACATTACAGTGCTTTTTTTCTTCTTTTTTTTTTAATACTCTACTTTCTGCTTGTTTTATTTCTTTCCTCGCAGTTTCACACCAAGGGCCCTTTCCAGTTTTGAAATAATCTGCTGATTTGGAATTGCCTTTCCAGATTCATATTCCTGGATAATTTGGGGCTTCTCATTTATCATCTGAAGGCAAGTATTACAAGCAATAATGAATTTTCATGTACAAAGTGCGAAGTTTGATGATTTATTTGTATGCAACCAAGTGAGGTAAAACAGACCTGAGCAAGCTGAGCCTGGGTCAATTTCTTGTCCAATCGAGCCTGCATGATGGCTTTCTTCAGTTCACTGGGCACCTTTTCATCTGAGACAACATGGAAAATATTAAAATGGGCGTGAAGGCCGATCATTAGAAGAAAAATAAATAAAACAAACCAAATTGCATTTGCCTAGGATTTGATTACTAATTACTCATATAAACTGAAGGGTCATTAAACTTTGCCTATACTCATGCACAATGAAATCATGCGGCCCTTAAAAAAAAGCCACCTAGGAGTTGGCCCACAACCAAAACCACAAAATGACAAACAACGAACAATATAAAACACATCAGATCCATTAAAAAGTACATATAGCATAGAACAGCTGGAACATGAAGCAAGTGCATGTAACTGGCCACAAGTTGGATCAGTACATTGCTAAATAAACATTGATAAATTGGATCAGGGTACATTAAGGCTGAAAACACGAAAACAAGTGTATTTTTTCCCATCAGGCCGTCCATTCAAACAGTAATAGAGTAGCTAATTAATGGACAAGGCACAACATTCAGTAATCTTTTCAATAATGCGTTAAAAGAACAGTTTCCAAAATTTTGACAGCACATTTGAAAGAAGCATCAACTGAAGCATTTACATGTTGAAATAATGATCCCGCCATAAAAAAAAAAAAAAAAAAAAAAAAAAAAAAAAAAAAAAAAAAAAAAAAAAAAAAAAAAAAAAAAAAAAAAAAAAAAAAAAAAAAAAAAAGGATTTTTAATCATTCTGCAAGGAAATAGCTCAGTCCACCTACCCACCCGTAGGCACCCGTGAAATGAGGAAATGAAAATGTTCCCTAGGTGATAAGTCAGAAATGTAGGTAGGAATGATAATCTCAAGAGAATATATTTATCTTCAATTCAACAAATGAAGCACATTTAAGTTTCCTCATTTCTGAGAGGAAAAGCGGAGAAAGTGTCATTAGAGACAAATTGCATATCATGACAACAGAAAGGGATATCCAGTTAAACCCGTCCATAGCATATAGATGGTAAAAGCAGGACGATCACTTGAGAAAGTACAGAAGCTAAATTATTTGCCCATAAACACAGCATGTCTGCAATTGTTCTTCAAATTGCACGAGAAACTCATTTTTTTTTTCCAGTTTCTTAACAACTCCCACATAAAAGGATGTCTTATGTAAAGGAGGCAATTTTTATTGTTTTATTCACTTTTACTATTTTCTGTCATCTTCTCTTCAGATCTGAAAAATATAGGATACGTGATGTTTCTAGATAAAAATTGAAAAGACTTCATAAATATTACAGAAAGGAGAGATTGCATGATCATACCAAAATATAGTGGCCTGCACATGCCTTAACAAATGCAAATGATAATTTCATGAAACAAGCATCGCAAATTAATCACAAAAAATTCCCTAAAAAGAACCAAACCATTGCACTTACGAGCCAAATTTTCTGTGTCCTCATCAAGTTTCCTCGTGTTCAAGGTAGTGCTGCTTGAGGCAGCTTTGTTTGTCCCCGCATTAGCTGCAGCGAAAGAGGATAAGTGTTAGAAGCAACAAACAAAGCTAGATCTACTCAAAGGTCGTTAACACTTCCATAAAAATCAAGCTAAACAGTAGATGAGGGAAAACAAGAACTCAACTTAGAAAAGGATTCTGAATCTTAGAGGAGAAATGCGTAACTTTGGCAACTTGTCTCACAATATACAAATGAGAACAATATGGGTATTTTGTTTTTGCATAGAACACAAAGGGGGGCTGACATCAACAGGACTGTCAGCCCAGAATAGAGATGTTAGCCATTGTCCTGGTAGATATTAATCTGAAAGTTTTCTTCTGGAGGATCCCTATGTTGAACATTGCATTGAATATGCTCTCTCACTCTATATAAATGAAAACAAAACGAGTATTTTTTTTAGCCCCTGTTTGGTTCAGCTTAAAAAGTGAATTAATATCTAAGTCAAAGACAACAATTAATTATAACCACACATGGTATGGGACCCACAACTTTTCAATAACATATTCCAACAATTTTTATCAAATTCTACTAAAAATCTTATTTTTATCTCAACCAAACAGCAGCTTAGTGTAAAACGCAAACTGGAATGACATCAACATGTATGTCAGTCCGGTTGCCCATTGTCCTGGTAGTCTTCTTCTTTTCATATTCGTAACAGGTAATATCCATGCTAAGGTATAATCTGCTTTGCTCTAGTTAGTACCGAGATACATTACGCAAATGGAAACTAAATGATATGTATTTTAGTGACGAAAAGTAAAAAATAGAAACAAATCATAGACAACCAAAGCCCACTTGAAATAGAGAATACAAAAGTTTTCGATAAGCAACAAGTCAGAGATAAGCGGACCTTCATTTGAACTAAATTTGTGGAATGGAATCAGGGGATTGAAATTTCGAAACTTTCAATCCAATATGAAGTTTCGATTCAGAAATTGCAATTCCTAGGCCCCAACTATTTTCCACAATTCTCTTAACTAGAGGTAAATCAACCGTTAGGATAAGAGGCTAGAGATTGGAAGAACAAATTTTTTCATGAATAATTGCACAAAAGAATGAATTATAGAACATTAATCATTGCAAAGCATTACATCCATAACTGAAAGAAAGAAGCCCGCATGTACATATTTCATATATGTGAAAACACATAAACACAGATATGACTATTGAGAAAAACTCGATAAAAAAAACATTGGTGATGTCAATTAATTTTCTTCGAAATATATAAAAACGTTACCGGATAAAATAAAAAATTATACTGACAGAAAAGAACAATGTTAATTTTCCACCACCAAAAAAAAAAAAAAAAAACCAAAAAAAAAACGGGTATATGTGAAAACACATAAACACAGATATGACTATTGAGAAAAACTCGATAAAAAAAACATTGGTGATGTCAATTAATTTTCTTCGAAATATATAAAAACGTTACCGGATAAAATAAAAAATTATACTGACAGAAAAGAACAATGTTAATTTTCCACCACCAAAAAAAAAAAAAAAAAGCCATATATACAACGGTGCACAATATACTCAGAAACTTACACTTCCTGACTGTTTCGATCTCAGCGCCGGAGCGACGGGCGGCGTTAACAGCTTTTTCATCCTTGCGGGCGGCTGCGGTGGGGGCCTTCTTGCGAATCACAACTGGTTCCCAATCCTGTGATATTCCTGACATTTTTCTTGCTTTCTACCTTTACTTTTTTCTCTGAAGAAAAAAAAGATCTACCAGCCTCTCGTGCTTAATCCAGTGAGTTGCGAAGGGGACGAGATATTTATAGACGGTGAAGATTTTTGGGTGTTTGGTTGCACATCCAAATGGAATATTTTCATTACAGATGGGATCCTCAATCTGTTGAAAATATAGCAATTAGAGCCAGCAGTAATATATTAATAAATATATATATCTCTAGCTTCCCCTATAGCGTAGATCTAGTATATAAAAGGTACTCTAGCCTTGTCTCAATGCTAGCTTTTGCTAAACAGACTTAGCCCCTGTTTGACTCTCATATTTTCTAAATTTTAATGTTTAAAATAATATTTTTTTGAAAAATATGTGGTTTAAAAAAATAAAAAAATTTCAATTTACGTGTAATATTATTTTATGGAATCGTGTGATTGGAAATAAGAAAGAGGAAAAAAATGAAAGAAAATAGGAGCCAAACGAGGGGCTTAGATTGTAATTAGGGAACAGAATAGGAGAGTTGTCGAAGCCGTTAACTAACAATTGCAGCTAAAAAGAAAAGTTCCACATCCAATTGACAATTTTTTTCCTTGAATTTGATTAAAAATTTATTTATTTATTTGGTTTAGAATATGATTTTAATTTTATGTTTAATGAAACAAAAAGTAAAATAAAGGGTTGATAGTTTTGTATTTTCTTTTATTTCGACTAAAATTTTGAGTTTTTAATCAAATAAGGGAAAAAATTGTCCATTGGGGACTAGACTGCCACAAAAGCTGATAGATTGGGGACTTACTTTCTACATGTTTAATAGATTAGCACACCAAATGTGATTTTAACTTTCTTATCCCCATAGTTATATTCAGTGCAATAAAAGCCTTTCATTTTTTATTTTTTGGGCATCCACGAAATCCCGTACAACCACTATGTCCTAAATGTCTCGCCGCTTACACACGACGGATCTCGGCTGTATAGCCTGCGACGCCTTAACCGATCTCGGAGCCGGCAAGGAAGGCTGGCTCGTCGACAATCCCGACCTCCTAATTTCCCTTGACACCCACTCCGTAGCTTTCGCCAATCGCTCCCTAATTCTCATCCTTCATTGGTCATCCTCCAACAATGGCGGGCCAGACCCCGATAAAAACCGGGTCATCAAGATTCGACCCGACCTCTCCCCAATTGAATCCGAGTACATTTCCGCTGTCGAGTGGCTTGTCTTTGATGATGAAGTCAGCAGCGTGCTCGCCGTGGGAACCTCGTGTGGCTACCTCTTGATTTATTCTCTCCATGGCATTCTCATTCACAAACAGGTTGGCAATTTTGGATGTGTATAAATATTATGTTATTTTTATTGTGTTTATATTTTGTGCATGGAATTAGGTGAAGTTTGGATCTTTAATTTGATTAGGGTGATTCTTGAGGATTGGGTGAAATATAAATTTTACGGTTTATATTGAATTATAATATATTATTCGGTGAATGAATTACTGCTGACTGACTTAACTGAATCTGATAGTTGTTTACTGGATGATGATATCTGAAGTACGTAGCCCCTAACTGTAGTTTTGATCGATGCATCCTCTGTTGTTATTATAACCTGTCTATAAGTTCAAATTAAAGGTTTTGTTTCAATGGCTGGTTGACGTTTGCAGATAGTGAACACCGGAAAGATTCTAAAGTTGAGGGTCCGTGGAACTAAGAGAGATTTAACAGAAGATACATCGTCGGAGGAGGTTTGTGTTGTTATGCCAGGCGTTATTGCAAGGTTTGAAGGATCTGACATTCAGGTATGTGATTATTCTACTCTTTTGTTTACCTACGTGATTTTCAGTGGATAAATTCTCTTGGCATATTGGTCTCATGATTTTACCACTAAAAGATCGAACTATATCCTAGATCACCCTTTTCAGCTTCTTCTTTTTTTCTTTTTTTCTTTTTTTTCCATTGTATAGTTGCCCACTAGTTTGATATTTTCCCAAAGTTCTGATATGTGTCCTTGATGAGATGTAGAACATGCTGCAACGATGGTTTCAAGGGACAGATTCTCAGTCTTGGAATGATTCTCTTGATAAGATAGATTTGGAGAATTCTGAATCATCTTTTACAAGGCTTCCTTACCAGCTGTGGAATGTTAGCAAATATGGACCATGTTCTGATGCTGCTATTACTGGTGTCATGCCTCCACCTCTGATGGAAATCCAGGTAGTTAAATACTTTAGATTATCTCTTTATATATTATTTTGAGTACTAATCACAGTGCTCATCAATTAAGATTGTTAAAACTTTTAAACAATGTTACTATCTTATCTGAAGCTTTAGCGTATTGCTTTTTAAAAGTTTTATATCAACGTTCTCTTCTTGCCCATCCATTCTTTTGCTTTTTCCCTTTCCTATTCCTCCCTTCTGTGGCTAATGACTTTGTATATATGTTTAAATTCTTTGAACCCAGTGTCTTTTGCAACTTTCTGAATTTATTCTGGTATTTCAATTCAGCTGCTTTTATTGTTGGGCAGTCAAGTCAACATTACTATTGTGCAGTCACTATTGGAGATGACGCCGTAATTTCAGCATTTAGGTTAGTGTGGTGAGCTTTTTGGTTATAATTTCTATAGAATCCCTCGCCCTGGAAAATTTACTGTTTCTGTTTTCATTATGCTATAGCTTCTACAGTTTCCGTATTTTCCTCCTTAATTGATCTTTTGTTTCATATTTCAAGACTTTCAGAGGACAAGAGCAGATCACTACTAGGAGCTATTCTGTCCAAAGTTGTTCCTGCAACATTTTCGACAATAGCTTCATTTTCAAAATTGATATGGCGTAGTGAACAAAAGCCCACAAAAAAGCCAGAAGTGAACACTCAACCATTTGCTGGAGGTGTGATAATTGCCTTTAATTGTTTTTAAATTAACACGTTATTCTTGGTGAATTTTTTGCTGTCAAATTTCTGGAGAGTGACAAATCTAATTTCTAAGCCAAATATGTAGGTATAGATGATTAATACTTCTATAGATTATCATTTGGCCATCAAAGATGCTGACATGTTGCACTACAAACTAAAAACTTTTACTTTGTGGCAGCCTCTCCATTGACTTGTTTGAAGGATCACCCAAGGAAAGGCGAGAAGCTTACATTGTCCCCTAATGGTACTTTGGCTGCAATAACTGATTCACTTGGACGAATTTTGCTGTTGGACACTCAAGCTCTTGTGGTGGTGCGCTTGTGGAAGGTTTGTGACCGCATATGCTATTTATTGTGTTTCAAGGTAACAATGCTAATCTTTTTTTATCTTTGTTTCTCTTTCAGGGATATCGTGATGCACACTGCCTATTTATGGAGATGCTTGTCAATAAAGATACAGCAGCTTCACCTTCTGCTTATTATGGTTACTCAAAGAGTGACTATTGCCTTTGTCTGGCCATCCATGCACCTCGAAAAGGAATAGTTGAGGTACCATTCTCTTGCATGCCAGCACTCCTTATTTGGAAAGATAGTCTACCCGAGCACTTTCACTGTGAAAAAAAAGCAGCAGCTTAAATCTTGCATTTCTGCTGTTTGATTGTTCTTGAAATTTAATATATCCTATTGAGACTGATGCATCTTTCTTATATGATATTGTGTGTGTTCAGCTAAGCTTTAACACTTCACTCAAGTATGTAATTATTGAAATAAATTATTTTTTATTTGGTCAAAGTTGGAAACAAAAGACTTACTTTTTCATTAAGTTAAGTTGCATTAAAAAATTTCAACTTGTTTTACATGAAAGTGATATATCCAAATGTGTTTGGAAACAAAAAATTTTAGAACTTAACCAAATATGCTGTCTGTTCTTATATATATATATATATATATATTTTTTTTTTTCAAATTACTGCTACACAAAACCCGCCACCTCCAACGTGTGCATGCATGTACATATATACAAGCATATGTTGTTAATTACTGAGAAATTTCGCTAAAATGATCTACTGCATTGGGTTTGATGGATGATGTGGTTTTGCATTCAATTGAATTATGGTTGTTAAAAATAACTTGGTTTCTTGCAGGTTTGGCAGATGAGGACAGGACCTCGACTCTTAACGATGCCATGTCCTAGAGGTAGCAAAATACTACAACCAACGTACAGATTTAATTCAGAAATGACAACTTCGTCATCGCATATACCATTGGAAGTATTCTTTCTGAATGGAGACTCTAGTCAAATATCTGTTCTTAAGCATTGACCTTACTCATGTGCAAAGGCGTTCTTAGAAAACATGTCAAGTTGATGAACGTTACAATGTTTCTTAAATTTGATGCATATTCTAGGTTGTGTACAATGAAGTGCAATCCTGTTAAAGTTGTTCGTTGTTGTTTTGAAATTTTGGAAATGGGAAACGGCCTTCACAATGTATTACAATTTACAAACATCAATCAATCTGTTTCAGGGGACTGACAACTTTTTGTTGCAATCAAGGCATTGTCCTGTCCCCAACCCGGGATAGGGAGAATTATTCTTGTTATAAAATGTGTCTGGTCACTTTGGGCAGACGCCCCCCTGTCCCCAACCCAGGACGGGGAGAATTATTCTTGTTATAAAATGTATCTGGTCACTTTGATTCAAGAATTTGAGTCATCCTGCTGTTTAAATATTGTAGATCATTCTTGTTTTTTTATATTAGAGAAATACGGATTTGTCTGTACATACTTGGATAATATATTATATTATCCCTAGTTGGACAGATTTCTTAGTCTCTAAATCAATATTTTAAGAGGATGTTTAAAGCAACTTCTTACCTACTTTCTTTAACATTTTTTTTATTTTTTATATATGTTTGATTATGCTTAAAAATCGACTCTAAATAAATTGTAGAGTCACATAGACTAATTACAAGCAGCATTTAATCTCAAGCTAACATGGTGAAGCCGTGAAGGTATTGAATAAAGATTCGTGGTTATTTAAAACTAATAATGAAAATAAATTTTAATTGTAAAAAAATTTAAATATTTATTGTTTTTTTTAGCCAAACCTTAAAAATAAGATAAAAAGACGTTAAAACAAAATAGTCAACACCTCACCAATATTTCGTGTGCGAAACTTTGTCATC